TCTATTGATAATTTCAACACGTCCTTACTTCTTAACGATGAGAGACAACGGCAACGCTGATGGTATTGTTGTGACCTTGTGAGTCTGTATGTGTGTCGTCACGGTAATAAGTGGTACTAGAGACAGATCACAAGCGTGGAACATTCACAAACAAAAAGTTAACAGGTGTGTGGTTGAAAATAAAACAAAGTTGATTTGAACATGAGTTTGGACAGAACAAAATGAGAGCGTGTAGGAAGTAGGGAAGGGCCCATTGGCTCGAACAATTTATGCCATCGGTCAGATTTAGCATTGAGGCTGGCGTGATCTCATCACAAGAACGTCTCTGGATTCATTCAAATTACACATTGTCATCCTGTTTCCGCCGGTGTGCAACCAATCCCACATTCTTGCATTGTTCTTTTTTACATGTAAGAAATGAATACTTTCTTCGATGTTTACTTACCTTAATTTATCAGTTATCAACATTGTTGTCCGTTTTATTTACTCTGGGAATCTTCAAGTGTAATATATCATAGCTGTGGAGGAATAAAATGTAGAATATTTCCTTCTGACCTCTACTGTACAATAAAGTGGCATATAATGGAAATACTCACGTACAAGTGGCCTCATTTGGGTTTGACAAATCAAGTGTATCATATATGCTAAAAATAAATATGTGTGAACTGCTTTTAGGAGCATGTGTGTAAATTAATAGCGGGTGAAATATCGAGTGCATCCCCTTTATTTGAATATTAAACCGTACTTGAGGAGATGCTTAGTGGGGAAGCTTGCTTTTGGACTAGAGGAATTGGAAAGAAAAGCAAATGTCTTTGTGAGTGTCCTTCAGCAACACCCTTAATCCTCAGCAGCTCTCCGGTGATTTGGATTTAGAGCTGTGTAGCTGTGCAACATGAACCAAATCTCTTTAAAAAGAGAACTGCAACTGCTACATGTCATTTCTGGACAGTCGTGTTATTTTGATGCATATTTATCTTCAAATAAAACCTACTTTACAACATTGAAGGAAATGTGGGTATTTTAAAGCAGAAAACTACTACAGGACCAATGCACTCATTTCGAAATTATTATGAAATGATAACAAAACATATTCTCTGACACTTTGCGTCAGCCAGAAAATTTGAATAGTCATCAATCTGCATTCACGTTTACTTGATTTCAACATCTTCTGCCCGTCAGCATTTGTCCAGCCGTGATCTGATTAGGGCTTTTGACAGCCTTTATACCAGAACCCTCTTCAGTGGCAGTTTTTTTTTTGCGTCGTCGAGAGGCCCGATTCAAACGCCCTCTGCATCATCTTCACTTTCCTTTTTATAAACCTCTCATCAGCCTCCTCCTCTCTCCTTCTCGCTCGTTCCTCCTCTAGCTCACCCCGTCCCTCCCACAAATCCCTCTTCTCTCCTCTCTTCCACTTAATTTCCTCTAATTTCCTCCGCTTCCCCCACCTCTCCTCTCACTGTCTCCCTCCATTTCTGAGTTTCTTGGGCATTTAGCAGTCACATAGTCAGACATGTGAGGTGAAGGATGTAATCTGCAATCTTCACACAGTCTCTTTTAATTTTTTTTTTTTTTTTTTACATCTGTCTGTCTTTCTCTCCTTGTCTGTCTTTGTTTTTCAAATGGTGCTAATTTGACAATGAAGTGGAGGCAACACAAATTAAATTAATTTTCTGTTGTCATGAAGAAGAACCCTGTGCTGTATTGCTGTTTGTCAAGTAATCAGCCATATTTGAATGACAAACTGGATTTTATTATATTAGGAAGAACTATATATCATTTGAGGCGTCTGTGGGTGAGTGGGGAGCACGGTCGTCCTCCAATTAGAGGGGGTTGTCGGTTCGATCCCAGGCTCTGCTAACCTGCATGTCGTTGTGTCCTTGGGCAAGAAACTTAACCCAACGTTGCTCCTGTAGCTGCGACTACAGTGTGTGAATGGTAGTTACTGATGGGCAGGTGTCACTGTGTATGGTTCTCCTGTCATCAGTGTATGAATGGGTGTGAATGGGTGAATGACGTCATGTAGTGTTAAAGCGCTTTGAGTGGTCAGAAGACTAGAAAAGCGCTATACAAGCACAGTCCATTTACCATATACATAGATGCCATCCGATATAATGTTGAAATACATTTTTACAGTTGATACATATCTAAACAATGGAAAAAATAACAAATGCAAAAGCTATATATGTCCTGAGCTTTTCTGTTTTCCCCATGTCTTAATCTTCAAGTCATAAAACTGATAAATGCCACAATTTTTATGGGTTTTCTGATAGAGATAGATTGTCAAACGTTGGTCAAAAGAAGGGCTGCATCTTAACATTACATTACATGTCATTTAGCTGACACTTTTATCCAAAGCGACTTACAGTAAGTGCATTCAACCATAGGGGTACAAACTCAGAAGAACAAGAAACAAGAAAGTGCAATTTCCTCAAATAAGCCAATTTACAATTTGCTATAGATGAGTAATGTTACAAGTACAATTTAAGTGCTACAATTTGTTAGTCTTTAGTCGAGGTAGCATTAACAAGCACTGATTCCTGAAGAGCTGATTATAGCTGATCAGCAACACCTGTGACACCTGCAGGATGGGTATATGAAACCTGCCGTGTGGCTCAGATCGTATTTTCTGTTGGTGGCTGAAGTAATGGGAGCGTTTTGGGCCTTGCTTGTTTTTGTGCTGACTGTCTGGTTCACCAAAGGTATTTCTGTCTGTTTTGGAAACATCTATTCAATGGATCTGCATTGGAGTATAGTAAATGTAATGATGACGAAGAAACCTTTGATTATATGCAACTGCTCTATTCATAGGCTCTGGTTGGCCAGTTGGTGGCACAAATGTGAATGGTAATGGGCCGCAAAGGGCAATGAGAGGTAAGAATATTGGGTGACTAAATATTTGATTAGCTTCTACTTGACACTGACATTATTTTATTACAAATAGAGCTGTCTCCTAATGAGCCCTCCATAAAGAAGGCTCTTACGCTTCACCAGTCTGAGTCTGTGTTCCTGCGGAAGTCAAAAGAAGGTAAGACAGTTCTGCTTAACCCTATTTGATTCATGTTTGTGTACGGCTCAGGTTCTTGAGGTCCATATTTCATTGAGGCTTTGTCTGGCTTTTGGTATTTTGACTTCATTGATTGAATGTCTTCCCTTTTAGTCCAACTGGAAACTAACGAAGTGGAGGTTAAGGCATCAGCTGCCTACCTGAAAGCTGTTGAACATGCGCATAACGACGGCGTTCCCATCGGCGCCACGCTGGCGCCCTGCTCAACGGCTCGCTGGGCGACTACGGCGGCTACGGCGGCGCCCCTGCTCAACGGCTCGCTGGGCGACTACGGCGGCTACGGCGGCGCCCTGCTCAACGGCTCGCTGGGCGACTACGGCGGCTACGGCGGCGCCCTGCTCAACGGCTCGCTGGGCGACTACGGCGGCTACGGCGACGCCCTGCTCAACGGCTCGCTGGGCGACTACGGCGGCTACGGCGGCTACGGCGGCTACGGCGGCGCCCTGCTCAACGGCTCGCTGGCCGACTACGGCGACGCCCTGCTCAACGGCACGCTGGGCGACTACGGCGACGCCCTGCTCAACGGCACGCTGGGCGACTACGGCGGCTACGGCGACGCCCTGCTCAACGGCACGCTGGGCGACTACGGCGACTCCCTGCTCTACGGCGGCTACGGCGACGCCCTGCTCAACGGCACGCTGGGCGACTCTTTTACTCCAACGATACCAAACTAATAAGTTGGGTGGACCTTTTGGGGCACATTGCTTTAGTTTGTCGTGTAACTTAAGGATGTTTCTGCTTGTACCGCTGCTTTAAATAAAATGTTTGCCTCAATTTTTGGTGAAGAAGCTGAATTAGTGACTTTCATTCATTTGTAATACTCGTTTGAGGGGTACAATTTTGTATTCAAATACTTTCTCCACAAAGTTCAGGTTTAACGTAATTTCCAGTTAAATATTTTATCCAAGTCATGCCTTGAATATTGTATAATTTCTGTTTGGCTACATGGTCTATCCCGCAAACATTTGTTGCTGCGCTAGCATGCTGTTAAGGCTAGTGCATAGCCAGGGTCAAGTACTCTTCACAGGAAGTCATGTGATGACATTCTGTGACCGTTCTCTTTTGGATTGGAGAACCCTGTGCTGTATTGCTGTTTGTCAAGTAATCAGCCATATTTGAATGATAAACTGGATTTTATTATATTAGGAAGAACTATATATCATTTGAGGCGTCTGTGGGTGAGTGGGGAGCACGGTCGTCCTCTAATTAGAGGGGGTTGTCTGTTCGATCCCAGGCTCTGCTAACCTGCATGTCGTTGTGTCCTTGGGCAAGAAACTTAACCCAACGTTGCTCCTGTAGCTGCGACTACAGTGTGTGAATGGTAGTTACTGATGGGCAGGTGTCACTGTGTATGGTTCTCCTGTCATCAGTGTATGAATGGGTGTGAATGGGTGAATGACGTCATGTAGTGTTAAAGCGCTTTGAGTGGTCAGAAGACTAGAAAAGCGCTATACAAGCACAGTCCATTTACCATATACATAGATGCCATCCGATATAATGTTGAAATACATTTTTACAGTTGATACATATCTAAACAATGGAAAAAATAACAAATGCAAAAGCTATATATGTCCTGAGCTTTTCTGTTTTCCCCATGTCTTAATCTTCAAGTCATAAAACTGATAAATGCCACAATTTTTATGGGTTTTCTGATAGAGATAGATTGTCAAACGTTGGTCAAAAGAAGGGCTGCATCTTAACATTACATTACATGTCATTTAGCTGACACTTTTATCCAAAGCGACTTACAGTAAGTGCATTCAACCATAGGGGTACAAACTCAGAAGAACAAGAAACAAGAAAGTGCAATTTCCTCAAATAAGCCAATTTACGATTTGCTATAGATGAGTAATGTTACAAGTACAATTTAAGTGCTACAATTTGTTAGTCTTTAGTCGAGGTAGCATTAACAAGCACTGATTCCTGAAGAGCTGATTATAGCTGATCAGCAACACCTGTGACACCTGCAGGATGGGTATATGAAACCTGCCGTGTGGCTCAGATCGTATTTTCTGTTGGTGGCTGAAGTAATGGGAGCGTTTTGGGCCTTGCTTGTTTTTGTGCTGACTGTCTGGTTCACCAAAGGTATTTCTGTCTGTTTTGGAAACATCTATTCAATGGATCTGCATTGGAGTATAGTAAATGTAATGATGACGAAGAAACCTTTGATTATATGCAACTGCTCTATTCATAGGCTCTGGTTGGCCAGTTGGTGGCACAAATGTGAATGGTAATGGGCCGCAAAGGGCAATGAGAGGTAAGAATATTGGGTGACTAAATATTTGATTAGCTTCTACTTGACACTGACGTTATTTTATTACAAATAGAGCTGTCTCCTAATGAGCCCTCCATAAAGAAGGCCCTTACGCTTCACCAGTCTGAGTCTGTGTTCCTGCGGAAGTCAAAAGAAGGTAAGACAGTTCTGCTTAACCCTATTTGATTCATGTTTGTGTACGGCTCAGGTTCTTGAGGTCCATATTTCATTGAGGCTTTGTCTGGATTTTGGTATTTTGACTTCATTGATTGAATGTCTTCCCTTTTAGTCCAACTGGAAACTAACGAAGTGGAGGTTAAGGCATCAGCTGCCTACCTGAAAGCTGTTGAACATGCGCATAACGACGGCGTTCCCATCGGCGCCACGCTGGGCGACTACGGCGGCGCCCTGCTCAACGGCTCGCTGGGCGACTACGGCGGCTACGGCGGCGCCCTGCTCAACGGCTCGCTGGGCGACTACGGCGGCGGCTACGGCGACGCCCTGCTCAACGGCTCGCTGGGCGACTACGGCGGCGGCTACGGCGACGCCCTGCTCAACGGCTCGCTGGGCGACTACGGCGGCGGCTACGGCGACGCCCTGCTCAACGGCTCGCTGGGCGACTACGGCGGCGGCTACGGCGACGCTCTGCTCAACGGCTCGCTGGGCGACTACGGCGGCGGCTACGGCGACGCCCTGCTCAACGGCTCGCTGGGCGACTACGGCGGCGGATACGGCGACGCCCTGCTCAACGGCTCGCTGGGCGACTACGGCGGCGGCTACGGCGACGCCCTGCTCAACGGCTCGCTGGGCGACTACGGCGGCGGCTACGGCGACGCCCTGCTCAACGGCTCGCTGGGCGACTACGGCGGTGGCTACGGCGACGCCCTGCTCAACGGCACACTGGCCGACTACAGCGGCTACGGCGGCTACGGCGACGCCCTTCTCAACGGCTCGCTGGGCGACTACAGCGGCGCCCTGCTCAACGGCTCGCTGGGCGACTACGGCGGCGCCCTGCTCAACGGCACGCTGGGCGGCTACGGCGGCGCCCTGCTCAACGGCACGCTGGGCGACTACGGCGGCGCCCTGCTCAACGGCACGCTGGGCGACTACGGCGGCGCCCTGCTCAACGGCACGCTGGGCGACTACGGCGGCGCCCTGCTCAACGGCACGCTGGGCGACGACGGCGGCGCCCTGCTCAACGGCACGCTGGGCGACGACGACGGCGGCGCCCTGCTCAACGGCACGCTGGGAGACTCTTTTACTCCAACGATACCAAACTAATAAGTTGGGTGGACCTTTTGGGGCACATTGCTTTAGTTTGTCGTGTAACTTAAGGATGTTTCTGCTTGTACCGCTGCTTTAAATAAAATGTTTGCCTCAACTTTTGGTGAAGAAGCTGAATTAGTGACTTTCATTCATTTGTAATACTCGTTTGAGGGGTACAATTTTCTATTCAAATACTTTCTCCACAAAGTTCAGGTTTAACGTAATTTCCAGTTAAATATTTTATCCAAGTCATGCCTTGAATATTGTATAATTTCTGTTTGGCTGCATGGTCTATCCCGCAAACATTTGTTGCTGCGCTAGCATCCTGTTAAGGCTAGTGCATAGCCAGGGTCAAGTACTCTTCACAGGAAGTCATGTGATGACATTCTGTGACCGTTCTCTTTTGTGAGGTTTGTCAGCGCTTTGTGTACATGGAGCCTAAACCTGAATGCTACACGATACCATATTTTGAGGAAGTATTTTCTATATTTTGAATACAAAATGGCACAAGTATTTTGTATTCGTTGTTAATTGAAGGGTATTTTGTAACTTATATTTTGATGTGTTTTTGCCTATCCCTGCATATAACCCAACCAAAAAGTAAAGCATGCAGGGAAGTTTGTCGTAGATTTGCCTAAATAAAGCACCAGGTTGACTGGATTTTTTTTAAACAATTGTAGATTTTTGAGGTTTACTTAGAGTAATATCTAATGCACTTGTGCAAAGAAGACATGCAGAAAAGATTTTAGATATTTGGGATTTTGGTCTAAAAGCAACCCTGTTTCAGCTTTTACTTAATGTAACTTTGTCAGATTCTGTTTCTTCGAGATCTCTACCATCTTTAAAGAACATATCCCATGATGGTTTCTCCTGTGTCATGCATGCTCTGTCGTTCACACTTTCTTTCCGAATCAGATGTATGTAACTGCAGTTGTAAGGTTCAATAACCTTCAGTGTCCATTCTGCATGTTTCTAAGTCGCTCAAATTTATAAAGCTTGAGCCCCCTGGGGCTAAGAAAGTCCACAGAGAGGGAGAGAGAGGGAGACATTATCTGTGCAATTTCAAGCTGTGTCCATCATGTGGCAGTGTGCAGCTTCTTAGGCGCTACTGTCACAATGGAACAGAGCCAGTCAAAGTCAGCCTAATCCCCCACACACACACGCACAGACACTCCATGTCTGGTTTTTATCTCTGTGTGCAGCTTGGAGCTTACAGCGTGCCCCCCCTGCGCCCCCCCCCCCCCCCCCGCATCCTCTTGCATCTCTTTGATGCCTCTCTGGAAACACAGGACCTGCTAATGGAGACAAGGAAAAGGCTTCTCACTACACTTCCTTCTCGTCATTCGAGCCAATTCATTACTATAATGTTCGAAAGGAGGGGAGAAAAAGGAAGGAAAAAATTAAACTGTTTTTTTTTTTTGGCAGAATAATGCTGTACAATGACGGATGAACGTAACAAATTGTATTGATATTGAAGACCTGCAGAAGAAGAACAAGGACTAGTACATTTTCTTTGTCTGTGTAAATATGAAGAAAATGTGATTTTTGTTGGTTTATTTATTGAGGTAGATGGTCTCTCGTTCTCACTTTCTTCTGTTTTTTTTCTTTTCTTATACGTTCATTTTGATAAAACAAACCTCGGGTGGAAATTTGTCTTTACTGTAATGTAATCTGCCTCCTAGAAAAAAAGGACTATTTTTTTTAATTAAAAATAACTTATACAGAATGAGCTGAGCTTGAGTCCAATCTTGACCTCAGTTACAGCAGTTGAGTAAACCATCTGCACCAAATGGTCTATTTGGTTTCTGCTGGGGAGCCTTCAGGGCTTTAATTCCGATGGTGACCAATCTAATGATACAATGCTAACATTGTGCCAAGAGTTTAGAAAGGGTGCTTTGTCGTTGGCCATGAATAAAGCAATGTCCATTAAGAAACTTTTTTTTTTATTATTTTGTCTTTACAAACTTTTTACAAACACCGGTCTGCACAGAGCGCTGACCTCATTTGATTTGCTGTATTTAAGCTTTGGTAGTTGGAGAAAAGATGAAGGCATTGAAAAGAAAAGTATCCAAACCAGAAACCCAATCTTGAGGTAACAACTTTTTTCCAATAAAAGCAGGTTGTGAAACCAGCTACAAAAGTCACTGAATCTAGTTAGAAATTTCCCGGCAAAGTCGGCAACACTGTCCCTTCAGGCCGCTCCCCTAAAGTTCTCTTATGAATAAATGAATCAGAAGGGAAGTAAACAATAAACATGGCTATTGTTAATACTCACTGCTTTTAAGCTAGCAGCTTGAAGAAGGACTGATACTCAATTAGTGCATGAGAGGAATGCACGCAGGCAGGTAGGTGCTTTTTAATGTGTTAGAACATTAGAGCATTGGATTTATTAAAAGCTGTAAGCTGAAAATGTCAACAAGTATAACTCATCTCTTTCCTAAACCGCCATGGCTTTAAATAAACAAGTTACTTACACATAGACACACACACACACACACACACACACACACACACACACACACACACACTCACAGAGACGTATATATATTTCCCAAATAGATCACATGACCCATTTGCTGATAAATATACAGGTATCAGGTAACAAACACACGCTGTCTCTTCCTGTCACACTTTCAGAGTCAGTGATCCTTACAGTGCAATCTGAGTGACAGTTTGATTTATAGTGTTATGTTGTGCGTCAGTTTGAGCCAAAACCCGGCTGAGAAAAAAGCAGGAAACGATCAATTATTACCTTTCATGTCTTTATTCCACAGCAACATCCCTGTGAAATTCAGCACAAGGATCAGCAAACCTTATGTTTATCATTACAACAAAGAGGATGACGGATTGGAGATCATGACAAAGTAGTTCAATATTTTCCTGCATGAGATATTCCGAAGGATGACAAAGGGAACGATTTAGATTTGTGTGAAAAGTTTAAATTAGCTCCAACTTGACAAGCTACAACGTTTAAGTGCTCGGGTTGATGTGTCAATAGCACGGTAGAGTACAACACAAAGATAACAAGGGCCCGCCTGTTGCATAACATGCACTTTAACATCCTTATGTATTTAAATCAGAGCACTTAGGTATGATTTTGAATGCAGGACTTTTACTTGTGATGGATTATTATTACAGTGAGGTTAAAGCATCTGAATACTCCCTCGCTCAGTTATACTACAATCCAAAATTGCCTTAAAATGCCTTCAGTCTGTGTCGCGTTCAAAACCCCTGTCAAAAATATTGACCTCCATATTGATGTTTATTAAGTTTCAGGAGTGGCTTCGTCAAACAAGTTTGCTTCAGGGGGAATCTCTCCCTGCACGAAGAGGTGATGAGTCAGTGGCTGACACGCACAACACGTTGGATGGATATGCTTTTATATTTTAGGGAAGGGACAATGAGATGTTCTTTCTGCAGGCATACTTAATTTAAATCAAACAAGACCAGAAGTGACAGCACTTCAGCAAGTCAGAGGGGTGTACGATGATGTTCTGACCTCACTACTTTAAAATAGTTTGTTGGTCAGCGTGGCCTCAGATCAGCAACCGAGTGCAGTATAAAGATTTTAAAAAAAAGGTGAAGTTCACCACTCTGGAATGTGAGGGTGCAGTTGTCAAGGTGAATGGATTGATTAACAAAAGTGTCTGAGGCCGTGTTTGTGTCCTCAACATGCGTTACTTGGGAAGCCTCAGACTATCACACACAAGTTACCCTCTATTCTTTGTTACAACTAAAACTGTTAATTTATCTCAAATGTCACACTGCTTTTTCAAGCATCATGAGCAACCTTTGGATTTTGATTCAAAGACCATTTTGGGTCACACTCAGCGTTCCATTCTTTCGTTATGGAACGGGCAAATATTCAATCATCTATCAATAGTTATTTAAAACCTTTGTTTGATCTTTTAAACATGCATTGAAACATATGGCACGCAACAAACAAAAAAGGATTCTTTATTTCACATACATGTTTATTCTGCTTTTCTTTCATTGATCTCATTGTTCCTTAGTGGCAATTAAGAGTATCTACATAAGAAGCATATTCCACAATGCTGCAACATGCACATGCTGAAAGCGAAATGGCGGCGTGTCTCAGTTCGAAACTGTAATCAGGGAAATCAGCTGCTCCAGTGTTGGCTGGAACGGAAACCAGCAGACTCTTCAGCCTCAATGGCACATGATTGAAAACCTTTGGTATTATGTTCAGGCGTGTGTGCCTGCTTTTTTTACTCTGACTAACCAGGCTGACATTTCGGGAAAGTGGTTCTGCACATTGCTTAGCAATATGTGACACAAGAACCAGACTTGGCTGATGATTGTAATTCTAGTCACCAACTCCTATATGTGTCGGTACATTATATAGTTTGAGCCTTTTACTCCTTTTTCTTCAAATGCATTTGTTATTTGAGTCCATACTAATAGCAAATGAGCAACTTACTCATTATCATTTAATGCTAGCCATTAGAAAATGGACATCTCTGTAAATATTATTATTGTATACTGCATTTCCACGGAAACACACTATTGCTAACTCTGATGTTCAGGTTCATGACAAATACAATAGGTATTTCTTCTTGTACAGTAATGCAACCCACAATGGAATGTACCCATTTATATTACTGTACAATGGAAATTAAAGTCAGAGACAAATAAACAATAATATCTTCATATATATCTTCAAATATTCCCTAGCACCCAATGTCAAATTGATCCTTGATATTAAAACATTTCAAGTCAGGAATTGATATCAAATCAGAAAATGTTTCCTAATAATACCCAAGATACATTTCAAAATGACAAAATGAATGAAGTTTTTTTCCACAAATCACATGCTCATAATGATGACTGAAGATCTTAAATTACATATAGAGACATTACAATCACATCTCTGTGATCACTAATACGCAAGTGCTTTAACTTACCTCCCAGAAAATACGCTAGCACCTTTTGTTTTTTCACCTTATGATGAAAAATGGGATTATTTAGTACTCCCTATGGAGCCATTGTGACAAACTGCCATTTGCATGATTGTTCTGTTTACCCACATGCTCAGTATTCCTACACACACAACTATTTTTCCTTAAAAAGATATTGCCAATCTATTCATATAACGTAATTCTAATGCTGTCATTGGTGGCCTACTTTTATGAGAGCAAACCATTAATCACTCAGCCCGAGAGGAGAGCAGCAACCTGCTACAAACCAAAGGACGCCATGCGGTTGGGGTACCAGAGGATCCCCTGTCTCTAACTGGAACAATGACACACATCACTAAGTGCTGAGCCTATGGAAGGTAACTCGCTGAGAAACACAGGGATGTGTGTGTGTGTGTGTGTGTGTGTGTGTGTGGACTGTGGGTGTTTTGTGGTAGACCGCTGGCCCATTCGATACACAAAGGACTTGTTTTGGAAGTGACAGATTAATTGCTGGTTTCAGCTCAACCCTGAATACACTCTAGTATCTGTACCCATGGGTGGTAGAAGCCAGAGCCTCAAATGAATCAAACAGGA